TGGAAAGATTCCTTCCTCTCTCAGCAGACACCTAATATCCGGTTTTCTTTCTGTTTTGGGTATTAGTAATAATTGATACTTAATGCCTACATCCACGAACTCATTTTGTGTTACAAATGGATGATATTCCAATTCTGTCATTTCTTTCTCATTTATTTGCTGACCTACCATAATTTACTCAGTGGTTCTTTGCTTATACATTTTCAAAGTAATGAGTTGGTTCGTTAGAGTCTTCTGATGGCTGACCAATTATTGTTTGTTTGTTTTTTGTTTTTTGTTTTTTTTTCAACGTTTATTTATTTTTGGGACAGAGAGAGACAGAGCATGAACGGGGGAGGGGCAGAGAGAGAGGGAGACACAGAATCAGAAACAGGCTCCAGGCTCTGAGCCATCAGCCCAGAGCCCGACGCGGGGCTCGAACTCACGGACCGCGAGATTGTGACCTGGTTGAAGTCGGACGCTTAACCGACTACGCCACCCAGGCGCCCCCCAATTATTGTTTTAAGTATCATTATGAACTGATGGATTTAAACTGATGAATTAAAATATGTTTTTGTTTTTGTTTTTTTTTTTAGAGATAGTATGAGTGGGGATGGGGCAGACGGAGGGGAAAAGAAAAAACCCAGACTTCACACTCAGCGCAGAGCCCAATGCAGGGCTCAATCCTACCACCCTGGGATCATGACACCTGAGCCAAAATCAAAAGTCAGGGCTCAACTGGCTGAGCCACCCAGGAGCCCCTGGTGAATTTCAATCTTTTGAAGGTTTTTTTTTTTCCTCATTGATCTTCATATTGCTTCATCTTTGACAGTCTCTGAGAGCTGATTTTCAAGTTTTTGACACACACTTAATAATCTTTGATAGCTTCCTCATTATCTGATGTGACAAGAGTTTCCAAGACAAGCTTGTATATTTCCTGTCCTGGATCTGAATCTAGAATTAGCCATCTCTCCAAAGATCTCTTGTTCCTTTCAGAAGGAAATTGGATTTCAACACCACATCCTGGGGAGCAAGAGTGCTTCTAGGACATTTTGCTACTGGGTGCATCAGTGTTTCTTAGACTTTTCAGTTGAAAAAACTACAAATAGTTTCTTTCAAGCAGAAAATGTCAGTTTATACTGAGACTTCAAATTCAGGACTAAAAGCTCTTATTAATCTCTTCCTTCTGACATCAGTTTTTCCTTTCTCCCTTGTCAAGAATCTTGCTTGTCAAGGACACTGGATAATAGGATTATAATATTGCAGAATTATACTTTATGCATACAACATTTTTGAGTTACAAAACCATTGCTATCACCTATAGTATGATTACTGAAAACTACCATTTTTTTTCTAGCTTTTTTTTTTTTTGTCCTTAAGGCATATATTAGGGATGTACAATCTAAAACTGTTTTTTAAAAAATATTTTGGAGCACCTGGGTAGCTTAGTCGGTTGAGCATCTGACTCTTGATTTCAGCTCAGGTCATGACCCTAGGGTCATAGGATCGAGCCCTGCTTTGGGCTCCATGCTGAGCAAGCCTGCTTAGGATTCTCTCTCTCTCTCCCTCTGTCTTTCTCCCCTGCTCTGTGTCTAAAAAAAATAAATACAAACAAAAAGATATTTGGATTCATTTCTGAGGGGTTATGCCAGCACTAGTTACTGGTTTTGATTCACTTCTCTCATTTTAATTCAATTTTTAGGGACTTAATTTTTTATTATATAAAATTCTTACACAGATTCAAAGTCAATTCCATAGAACAAGGTATATTGAAAGAAGTCTACCTTCTATCCCTGTTCCTTCATCCTATTCACTCTGTACCCTAAGGGGAGATGTCAGCATTAGGATTGGTACCTATAATTATTACATATTGTATTTCTTCCCTTATTACCATTATTTACTCACTGTTCTATAATTAACTATATGCTAATGCTCACCAAATGCCCTTAAATTGATGTCTATCCAGTCATTTTAATTGTCTGAAGGTTATTCTTGAATGGATATGTCAGGAATAACTCATGGGATGTTGAAAAGAGTTTGGCTTTACACTTGAAAAGCAACTTATCTGAGTAGAAAACAGTTGGTCCAGATTTTATTTTTGCTTTATCCTAGAAGGCATAAAATGTTGCTATTGAAAATTCTTCACAATTTTATTTTCTATCAGTTATAAGTGACTTAGATTTCAAGATGTTTCCCAGATGTCAAGAGAATTTACTCAATTTCGTCAACAACCAGTAATTTCCTTACTTTCCTGTGTTCTCATTTTATTTTCCCAGGTACACAGTGTGTCCTTTCAACATGTACTGTCTTATGCATATATATTCTTAATTTTAGGAAAGTTTTTTTTATTATAGATTTTTAAAATATCTCATTTTATTGTTTTGGTTTTCTTCTTTGGGGACCTTATTATACACATGTTGTTTCTTCTTTTCCTATCTTTCATAAGGCTGAATGTATCAGAGATTTCCAGAGGGCTGATACCTGAACTGTACCTATTAAAAGCCCAGCTTTAAATGAACAGTAAAATGTTAAGGAATATAAGCCTAAGGTCTATAAAGTCTAAGGATAAAATTGACTAACTACCAGGTGAATTGAATGCATATTCTCCTATGGTTCAGACGACCAACAGGCTATATGTTTCCTAGTAATCTTATGTCCTCTTATTTTCTTAAGTGCCTAAAATAAGAAATTACATGAAATTTACTATTGCAAGTGAGATTATGCACAGTTTCCAAAGTAAAGTTTACAAAAACAGTTCCAGGGGAAATTATTTATAATTCATTGCTAGGCAAAACTTTGTTTTCCCTGTTTCTTTTTTTCTAATGAGGTCATCATAACCAGGCTTTCTATTTCCCCCTGCTAGGAATCTGAGCCAACTTGTGGCTCAGTCTGGTAACAATAAACATAATTATGACAGGATCCTTATTGCATGCAGGTATTCTTTAACTTGACCCCAAGTTAAAGGTTTTTAAAATTTGGTGTGAAAGGACAAGTTTACAGAGAAACCATATACAAAATTTAGTTAGAATATACATTTTTTTTTCTGGGAAAATCCAGACATTTCATCAGATTTTTATTCTAAAAGAGATCTGTGATGCAGAAAGAATGTGAAAACTACTGTTCCTTTATTAATTATTTCATTAATAAAACAGAAGCTTCTATTTTAGTTTAATTTTAAATTCTCAGTGAGTTACCTCAAAATGAGTTATTTACTTTTGGAATCACACTAAGGTTATTTATTTATTTATTTATTTTCAACATTTATTTATTTATTTTTTATTAACGTTTATTTATTTTTGAGACAGAGAGACAGAGCATGAACGGGGGAGGGTCAGAGAGAGGGAGACACAGAATCTGAAACAGGCTCCAGGCTCTGAGCTGTCAGCACAGAGCGCTATGCGGAGCTCGAACTCACGGACCACGAGATCATGACCTGAGCCGAAGTTAGCCACTTAACCTACTGAGCCACCCAGGTGCCCCAACGTTTATTTATTTTTGAGAGACAGTGTGAGTGGGGAAGGGACAGAGAGAGAGGGAGACACAGAACCTAAACCAGGCTCCAGGTTCTGAGTTGTTGACGCAGAGCCTGACATGGGGCTCAAACTCAGGAATGGCGAGATCATGACCTAAGTCAAAGTCAGATGCTTAACCAACTGAACCACGCAGGTGCCCCAGCACACTAAGCTTTTTTTTTTTTTGTCTTGACAAAATATAATGAATAACAAACTGATGAATTTAAACTTCAGACCTCAATCACTGAAAATGAAGTCATTCCATTTATAAGTCTAGATTATGTAATATGGGGGGGGTGTAGCTAAGCTCTTTTTCTACAAATATTAAGAGCCTGCTAAAAATAAAACTGGGTTCCCTAACTTTAGAAAGAATGCTAGCATCCTATATGATCATTGTAAATAGTGTCCTCCTTAAAATACAAACTAATGAGGCAATTATTTCTATATAAGCTAGTTTCATTATATTTACTTTTTCTCTTCTTCTATAATGCATTGTGTTTTCTTGCACATGTCTTGTAAATGTCTCGAGGTCTTTTGGTGAACATTTATCAAATTGGTCATATTATTTCATCATTGCCATATATCAGACCCCTCTGGAAAAATGCTTCCATCCACTTAATGAAGAATCAAGGTCTGCAAATAGTTCTCTTGCTCAATGCATAAAGACAGAAGATATTGTAAGATAGAGTGTGTTATAGAATTAAAACAAATACTAAATTTACATTAATCTGATATCTGAGTAGAGCAAAGAGGTAGAACAAGGCACGCAGTGCTTGTTAAATCAAAGTTGACCAAACTTGGGAGGAAAAAAATTAAGCTTATGCTTAGGAATCCAAAATATCTCAATTAGATGTGCAATGGATAGAATCACTTACCTAGAATGCATTCATTTTGTATTTTGTCAACGATTTCCTTTTAACTGTTTGTGTTCATTCTTTAAGCCTTTTTCTAGCATACAGTAAGTTTGTAATTCTGTGAACAGATTGGCATTTCAATAAAAAGAGTTTTGTTGACTTGAGAAATAAAATTAACTTCTGGTTTTGGACCTATTGGAAATACAGTTGCCATTTCCACTCTTGCAAGGATCTGCAAAATTAGCTTTGAATAATTTCTTCCTGTTTTGCTATTCCTCGTGTAATTAAACACTCTAAAATTCAGAGAATTTAGATTTGACTTGACATTTCAAACTGTTTAGAATGTGGCTGATGATTAAATGGTGAATAATGGTAATATACATAATTTTGCATGACATGAATAAAAACAGCTAGGTGAAATTTCACAAATCATTTGCCCTTTAAGCAAATGGTTACACATTTTTGGTCTGTTGATTTATGCAGTCAACTAGAATTAGTAATTAACTTGCAATCTGATGGACTTGAAGTCGGAGAAAAAGACTTGAGGTTGGAATTTGTTTCTATGAATGTTTTTGTAAATGTGGAGTCAGCCTAAATGCCCGAAGTGGATTCTGACACTGACACTTTTCTTCCTCTCTGCTGATTTGATTCATAGGGCCAGTACTTAAGTGGCTGAATAGTGAGGTTACAAGCAGTCATTATTAAGGTAAGCAAAGCCTCACTCTTGCTTGTGGTCGGACATCTGATTTTAATTGTGGGAGAGGTAGATAAACATTGATGCTATGGTAGGATAGAAGCTGGTATGCCATTTCTAAGCTCATTGGAAGCTTATAGCTTGCCAGTTTACACAGACATACGCACAAGAGGGTGGAAATAGAGCCTAGTTTCTGTATTCTTTGTTTCTGTATTCTACTGATAATTTTCTAGAGAGATAAATACAGCCTCAGATGTAACCCTAGATTTAAAAAGCAAAAATACAAAAAATGAAAATGGACTACCGTTCAGTTCACATGCCCTCACACCCACCCTCCAATCCCAACCTCTGGGTCTCACTGGGGCCACATTACTCAGTTATTTATTCCTAAATCACACAATCCCTTTCTCTACCACTTATTTTCCCTAACTGCACTCCAACCCCTGCCAAAAACAAAAGACTAAAAAATAACATCAAAGAAGACCCCACAAAGGTTTTGTTTAACTTCCTTTTCACCCCACCTTCCACCAAATGAATTCCTTAAAAGTCACATCGTGATTAATCATGCTGGTTTTCAGTAGAATTTTCTACTAATGTAACACAAATCAGAATCATAAAGATGGAGGACTGAACATCATTCACAATCCTTGTTTCTTCTTCATTTTATGCTAGAGTCCTAAAACACAAAAACTGATTTTTGCCAATGTGTCCTCACTACATACTTAGCACTTCAGAGAGAAAATTTACCTTAATAAACTTAACTCATTATATACAAGTCTCAGCTTACGATTGATGTTACTTTTCAATAATTTTTTTCCCTCAACTTCCATCAAACTGAGTTTAAACTTACATGCTTACTAAATAGGGTGTGGATGACTTTTTATCTCTATTTTCTATTTATTTGCATTTTCTGTATTCCCACTACCCAAAGATAAACCTGCAAAAAGCTTCAAAAGGTTATATTGATCACCTCCTTAAACTGAGGAAATAACCAGGAAATACATTCTGTGCCTCACTGACTTTGAACAGCCACCTGCATAACCAACCATCACTGAATAAAGACTTAGGATCCTTGCAGACAATAGGTCACATGTGGTTACAGGCAGCATTTTCAAGATCAAACCAGCTCTGAATTGCCATGGGCAAGCTATTTAAAATAAATCCATTGGGGAGATTTCACCTGCTGAATAGGGCTGTTCATGTAGTTCTTTGTAAAAGTTATCAATGGGAAGTAACTCAACTTCTATTACAATAGCTAAAATTAAAAACGACAACAACCTTTGCCAACATAATTCATGCTTATTCTCATCTTGGCATCTGTTTCTTGAGGGAATAGAAGGGAAATTTTATGTAAAATTTATGTATGTAAATTATAGCTCAAAAAAAAAAAAAATAAAAGCATAATGTCTGCCATATAGTAACGGCTCCATGAAATGCTATTTTTGATAGCTCTCAAAAGCCAGAACTGTTACTCCTATGCAAAAATGACAGTGAATATGATTTACTTTGCGAGCTTTAGTTAAATAGATGTTTAAGAATTTCATTACTACATTTGAAGTAACTTTAATTCTTTGACCAAAATAAGGAACTTAAGGATTTCCAATAAGGATTCGGTACATTGGTGAATTTAATGAAGCTTTAATAGTTTAAAATAAATGATTTAAATAAAAATTCATTCAAAAATATTTAAGAACTATTTTTCCCCATGAATTAGTTAGAAAATTGTTCAATTATCCAGAATCTCTAACTTGCGTGTTTTCTTCTTTTCAAATTGCCAAAGTAATACTTTTGGGTTGTAATAAGTAAAACAACATAATGCAGTTCAAAAGTGGGCAAAGGTAACACTCACCTGCCCCAGCAGCCCAAATTCTTAATTAACCCACCCCATCCCAAGGTCATCCCCTGGAGATCTGATTCCGTATCTTTCCAAACCCTTATTCTTGCTCAGGCAAACACATAGCCATAGATATATCTGTATAGAGATGCTATTTATTTCCTTTATCCTGAAATAGAATCAGAAAGTACCCATTACTTAATTGTTACTTTTTTCTGTTCAATACGTTATGGACGTCTTCATAAGAGATCCATCTTGCTCTTCTAATTTCTGTAAGCATGCATATACACCTATAATTTCACACACATCATATCGTGTTACGGTTCTTCATTAGTAGTCTCTTCCCGACTTTAATTTTCTGCTTACCTTACTTCCGCACCTTCTCTATCCTTTGCTCTCACTGTCCCTTTCACGCCTCACATTTTGTATCCTTTTGTAATTTAATGTACGTACGCATTCCATACACTTTTTTTGTCGTTGTTTACAAAAGTGGAATATTAAATACTCTTCCATTCATATCATTTTCCTCCTTCAACACATTTTGGAATACCCCCAAGTCGCCCATCAGTTCACAGAACTTAATTATTCTTTAATAATAATTGCTAATGTTTTATAATAGCCCATGCATAATTTATTTAAGTGTTTTCCATGTGTTGGCATTCCTCTGGCTTGCATTTTATTTTGTGCCACCTTAACCAGTGCTGCAATAATTTGGTTTTTTTTTTGTATTTTCCATTATATATTCTGATACTCATACCCATGGAATCGATTCCCAAAAATTAGACTATGGGGCTGAAGTGTATGCAAAGGTTTAATTTTAATAGATATTTTCAGTTGTTTTCCCAAAAGATGGTAACCATTTATATTGCCACCATATCTGTGTCATCAATAGATATTATTACTCATTTTCTATTTCTATAGTTATATAAGAGTTGTTGAGAACTGTTATGGGACAATTTCTGATTGTTTGATAACTCCGAGTAGCCTTAAACCAGAGAGGAGAGAGTGAACTATGACCGCCTTACTCCATCCTCAGGGTGACCTGTTACAATGAAAACATCATGAACTGAATTTTCCACATGCGCACTGATTAGCAGTCACCAGAACAGTGCAGCTGTTCCTGTAGACAATCTAAAATTTCTACTCTCTGTCCTTACCACACTCTGAGAGCACCTTTCTTTAAAGGTCTATCGCAAGGGAAATGTGAGAAAAACTTCGGCAACAAGATCGCTTCTTCGTCAATCAGCAAAGATGGCAAAATCCTCCCTTAAGTGGTTGTGATGTTAGGGTGGGGCTGTGGTGGCAGAAGGAGTTACTACGGTCCTAAGGCTTTGTTTGCTGCAGAAGTGTTAGTATGTTGGGCTCACCCGATTCTCATACCCTATTTGTGACAGGGTAGAGGGGCCCACACTAATTTCCTTGGTGATCTCACATCTTGATCACCTGTCGTTTCACCAGTGAAAACTCCTTTCTAATCAGCAAATGCAATAGTCGAGATTTAGACTGCATTTTTTAAATGTTTATTTTTGAGAGAGAGAGCATGAGTGCGCATAAGCGCATGAGCAGTGGGGGGTAGGGGGCAGAGAGAGAAGGAGGCAGGATTTGAAGCAGCCTATGTGCTGACAGCAGAGAGTCCAATGCGGGGCTCGAACTCACCAACCGTGAGATCATGACTTGAGCCAAAATAGAAGCTTAACTGACTTCAATTGAAAGTATTCTGTGTATTGTTTTCTGGAGAGTGGATACCTGATAGGGTCTCTCAAAAGCTAACCAACCCACCCTGAAGTGTGAAGTCAGGGTTAGGAAACTGCAAATGTTAACCAACTTTTCCAGGTTGTAGATTGCAGATGGCTTATACACATACATTATATTATCCAAAATGGAATATTTTAAAATAGATATGGTACAGCAGGTGAAAGCCAGCTTGGCGTGGCTGCTTTTCCAATAGCAAGTGACAAGAAAAAGGAAAACTAATTTCTCTATTTTACTGAATATGCTCCAAAAATTTTAAGGCATCGGTAGTGGGACCTCCAGTAGCCAAGACCAGAGGAGGAGAGGAGGAAGAAAAAGACAGCAGTCAGAATATGGCAGCTGAGTGGATATGTTCGTAAGCTCATGGGTATGGTGTTAATGCTTAAAGAAAGAGGCCTTATGGAAATTGTTTGCAGGTGGGGAGCAAATGTGGACAAACTGGGCCTGCTTCATAACGTTTGACATATGTGTCTTCACAACTCTTCCTAATGGTCAAAGCAGCTCATTTAGGGTTCAAAATGCCCAAGGCTGCACTATAAGTGGTAACAAACAGATTGGAACAAATCCTTTTTGCACAGAACACACTCATATTTCAAGGGAAATCCTAAAAACATAGTAACAAAGCTACAAACTGTTCCAGCATTTTCCAAGGTATGGGGAAATGTTTCAAAGACACATGGTTATAATTATTGAACTTAAGTTGTAGGTCTAATATGATAAGCATTGAGGGTATGAAGGGACGAAATGCTTTCCCAGCGATAACGGAATAACTTTGAGTAATAGCCATTTGGTTGCCTTTGTTTTTGACACAGTGGTGGGAGCACGTTATGGTCACTGCTGTTTGATAAATGACCTTCCCATCATTCTCATTTTGTGGGTTTAGGCCAGACACCCGTATTGTGACTTGGTTGGTGTGGAGGTTGGTGTTTCACTGTATTTTTAGAATATTTAGTCTATTTAGAAAGTTTACATAATTTTGGTTACAGTGACTAAAGTGACTAGGACTAAAATAAGATTGGCTTCTACAAAAACAAACTCTTCTAGCATTCGAAGGTGGCATTCATTGTGTGCAGAAGTGAGAGGGGTATGGTCAAATACTTCATATCTCGTTGATATTTCCTGGGTAGTTTATACCATACTTGAAATCTACTGAATCAAGAATTCTTTGTGGACTGATGTTTAAACATGTATTCTAATATATATAGCATATAAACTTATAAAATGGATTTTCATAGCTATTATACACACATGCATGCACACACATATGTATGTGTATGATTTGTAAGCACAGTGAAAGAATGTTAGTTTTTAATTAATTTTAAAGACTTTAAGAATTTTAATTACATTAATTTTGATTAATTTTAATTGAAGAATGGTACTTGAGATCTAGTTGAAATGGAATCACATTTTGCTTAACAGTTAAATA